GACTTCTCTGCCTACTTTAGGCAAGTTTATTGCTAATTTTATTGTTCAACATATGAGGCAGATTGAAAAGTGTCGGCTTGCTTTCAGAACGCCAATCACGACAATGGTTTCGACTTAGAGGATGATGTATCGGAGCCAACTCTTCATCTGAACGAATATACGCTTCAGCAAAGGGCTAAAGTGTCTTTTTCAGGTCTTTTCTTAAACGGCACATAACGGAATGTTTGAAATGGTTTCGCACTTCAATGTTCCGTCGAACACCAGACCTTATTCTAATTTCATTAGTCTTACCGTTTTTGCGTCGGACCCTGCTCCGTCCAAATCCCCTCGACCCCGGCCACTCCCATTGTCCCTTCGGATTGCCAGCCACTGGTGGGAGAAGTGAGGCCTTTTTTTAATATTATTTCTCATTTTTCCCTATTGAGTCATACCAGCAAGACAATCCGGTTCAGCTTAATTCGCCCCACGACACGATGTCCTGTAAAATTGTCTCTCCGACTGTTTGTATGCACGTTATCCAAGCTGGCAATCGGGCCTTCGCGTGTGTGTACACGCATGTGTGTCTGTGCATTTACACACTTACTCGGCCTATTTCACTAAGTCGTTGGAAAAACTCATTATTTCCTTCGGTATATTCCTAATTATTCGTAAGCACCTACCGGTTGATTAATTGGCTCTTGTATTTTTTGCAAACCAATCCGCCAGTTTTCCCTAATCCAACTCTTTCCCCCTCCACTTCGCTCATCACAAGCATGCGCACACACGCACATACAGGCACAGCTACAGACATTTCCGCTCCAACTCGCATTGTTGTTGGCGTCCCGATTTGCCATTAAATTCCTCCAATCCTCTCTCAGCCGTCCTACCTCTGCCTCGGCTGCTGCTACTGCTGCTACTGCCGCCACTGCTGCGGTTGCTTTTGTTGGTGTGCTTGTTAAAGGGGCCTAACGCTAGCGGAAAATTGTCTTTTACAAAATTTCCCTCCTTTAGGTTGCCTCACCGGGGCTCTTTCGACA